TTCTACTTCTATTTGCAGGTCTTTGTATTTTGTGATTTCCTCTAGTTCTTTTTCTTCTATTCCTGGGGTAGGTCTGGATACAGAGAGCTCATGTGGTAGACAACAGGAAAAGAAAGCAAAGATAGTACTGGTGTAGGTTTTCACAGATGGTATCTGTTGGGCGGCATTGGGCTTCAGGACTTAGTGACCATGGTCTAGACAACAGATTTCCTGACGTTTCATCAGCAACTGTGGCTGTGGCATCTTCAGAAGCAAGGTGGTCTGTTACATAGATCATAGGCAACTGAACAGGGACTGACTGGGCTCCTGTCTTTATAGTCAGTCAGGTCACCAGGTATCTCTGAACTGTGGTTTATGCTCCTATGTCTCTGAGGCCATGGAAGGAGTAGTCCTTGGACTTTGCTCTCCTCAGACCAAGTCTAACTTCCGTCAGCTGTCCTATGTTACCTTGAAATTTCTTTGAGATTCTGCCTGCCATTTGATCATTTAACATTATGCAAACAGCTGAAAGAGAAACTCAAGGATCTTTTCTTTAACCTCTGGTTTCAGGATGAAACCCTCTCCCTCAATATCTGTGACAAGCAAGCACTACAGGGGCCATTTAGGTGAGGTGAATGGGGGTCACAATAATTTTAACCATGTTCAACTCTGGTAGACATTTGTCTGATGCATGTGTCTATCATGCACAAGAAAGAATGGTTTATATTAGTATTTCTCAACCTTGGCAACTTTAAGATGGCTGGCTGGCTGGAGAATTCAGGGAGTTGAAGTCCATACATCTTAAAGTTGCCAAGGTTGTGAAACATTGGTCTATTTCATGTCTCCCTTATTGCATGAAAAGGGCATTTGTACCTTTAAAAAAGGTATTTTTCCAACCTCCATGTTGTACTGCATGAGTCCCAATCCTATAATCAGAACAGCCCTTCCAACATTACCTTTCTTTGCAGAGGCTGCTTCTTGGATAACCTTTCTATGTAGGACAACATTTCTTGAAGAGCATTAAGGGGCCAGTATCACAATTTTTCCAAAGATAGTTGAGGGAAACAAGGCAAAACAACATTTCTACTTAATTCCTCCTCCTTGTAAGGAAAGGGAAGAACCGAGACAAAGTTTAACCACAATTTAGATCTATGACAGATTATCAACTTTTCAAACAACCACTGTGCTATATCGTTTAGCTTTATCTGCAGATATTAATAATTACCACATGCTGCTACTTTGGCTGGAAAATAAAGAGATCAAAATGTAACACATCTGGGAAGCACCAGGTTTGGGAAAGCTGAAATAGATCAGATGTTAGTTAAGAGGGGAATAAAGAGGAAATTATATTGCACAGAAAAGTAACCAAAATTATATAATTGAAAGAGAGATTAAAATAAGAAATGAAGAAGCTCAGGCTCCCGATCTGAAGAATAGTATGGCCCCAAGACTGTTGGTCTATATCACTGTTTCTCAACCTTGACAGCTTTAAGATGCATAGACATCAACTCCCAGAATTCCCCAGCTGGTCTATATGAACAATACAGGATTATGACTTTATCTTACAGAGTTTTGTATATCCGCACTCCTCTTTGTTGATGCTTAGATCTAACATGGACATTATAATTATACCCACTAAAGTAGCACAGATGCAAGGGGAAAAAATATCTACAAATATATCACTGAACACAGTCATCTTGCAGGACATTAGCAAATACTATTTTTTTAAAAAAAGAAAACAAACAGCATAGTGCATTTTACCTACAGACAAGTATAGTATGCCCTCTCTCATGTCCATCACAGAAAACTTAATATTTCTGATATCCCTTTATTTGCTTAGTTGCAAAATCTGTTTTGTGGCCCAAGTAAGGCTATATTTGCTAGCTGAGCAGAAATGAGATATTTTGTGCCTTTAACAGCAGCCTGACCAGCCTCCCCCACCCAAGTTAAAGTAGGCTTTTCATGACAGAGATTACCATCACCTAATAATGACTACATATCACACTGCTAAAGGCATAGGAGCTATAGACAGTGAAACATTTGGCAACAATAATCAAATATGAAGGTGAATCTGGACAGACAACCACTATACTGGTGAACACTTGATCCATTGCTCTGACCTGCCATCTCCTGGCAAGATTAAATACTACATTATTTTCACACAGAAGAAAAATGTATGTATTGTATAGCATAAAGCAGTGTTTCTCAATCTTGGCAGCTTGAAGTTATGTGGACTTCAACTCCCAGAATTCCCCAGTCAGCATGCTGGGTTGGGAATTCTGGGAGTTGAAGCTCACACGTCTTCAAATTGCCAGGGTTTAGAAACACTGGCATAAAGTCTCCCTTTAAGTTAAAGCTTTATTCTTAATAAAACTTTAATAGCTTTATAACTCTATTAAGTTAAGCTTCATTCCCAGTGACTTCATGGACAAACCCACATAATTTTCGTGGCAACAATATAGAAGTGATTTGCCCCTCGCTGCTTCTGAGATATTTTGTCAACTTTCCAGTTTAGCTTCTACACCTGGGATTCCTGTGCAAGTACTAACTGGGTCAATGGTACTCTGCTTATCTTTTTCAAGATCATCTAAGATTGGCTAGGTGCTGCCTTGATTGAAATCAAGGGATTTTAAATAATCGGACCAATAACAAGAGGTTTTTTATGACATTGAAAACCCAACACATAATGTTAATAATATATTGCTTGGAATAAAACATATTTTGAAGTCTAATTAAAACAAGCATTGAGGGAGCCAAATATATTTCCTTCATGAGAGAGTTCCATAAATCTGGCCCATTCCTGGAGAGGCTCTGTCACTTTAAGTGAACTTGATGATGGGCCTTCTGCTGGTGACTCTCAGACCATTCATAAAGACAAAAGTGGCCTTTAGGTGACTTAATCCTAAAATTTAAAATCAATACTGCCACTTTCAATTGATTCCAGAAACAAATCAGGAACTGGTGCTTCTGATATTAAATTGGAATAATATACTCTGAACACATCCAGGCCTTGGCATATCACACCAACTGAGGTTTACAAATTGTCTTCAAAGGCTGTAGATGGAATACTGCAATATAGTAGTTGAGTCTGCGTGTAATCAGAGCCTAACTGAAGTAAGGCCTGTTGCTAAGCTGATAAAATCATTCCTAGCTACTCCCTATTTTGTTTGGATTAACTTTTAAGTCTACCCTCATTCATTAAAAACTGCCTCCAAGTGCCCACTCAGCAATTCCACAGCAATATCCAGGATTCACATAGAGAAATGAGTGAAAGAGTTAGTACATTATCTTCATACTGGGGCTATGCTCATTCAAACCACATGAATTCTTTCACAATCACAATCATTATTATTAGCTACCACAAGACTCTGGAGTTTTATGTAGAGATTAAAATACATGAGGAACAAACCCCTCCCCCACCCCAACAATACCACCAATTGGATTCATCTTTCTAGGAAAGACTAGTTAATCTTCCTCAACCTGGTAGACACCAGATGTGCTGTGCTACAACCCCCAAAATTCCCATACAACTTTTCTGGCTGAGAGTTCTGGAGATTGTAGTCCTGGGATATAAAAATGGCACCAAACTGGGGAAGGCTGGAATGGAGCCACAATGATATAATTGTCTCTAAAGCCCATTCTTGCAATGTGATCCAGAATGTTTCCTCAGTATAAGGCATTAATTAGGAGAAAAATACTGTTTTCATTTCATATCAGAAACCAGATTTGGAACCAAATTAAATTTAAAAAGTCCTCTGAGACTGCCTGAAATTAAGAAGTAATTCTACTGTCTTAAGATAAAAGTGGAACATCAGATACAACCTGATAATAACACAGGATTATCGGATGTATGCTTGAAATTTAACAGACAAAAGCATCTGGGAACCCACTAGGTTTTTTTCTTAAAGGCAGTAACATTTCCTCAAGAAAACATTATCTGAACTACCCAAACCCTGAAACACATCCAAAACAAGGCAAGGACTTTGAGGGCCCTAACCAGCTAGCACTCTGCTTGTTGGCTACGTATGCAAGCAAGCTCAATTAGCAAGCACACTGCACTTATAATGGAGGTGGTAATTGGGATTTATTTACAACTCTTACCAATGCCGGCCTCTGCCTCAACAGAAGGCAGCACATGGCTTAGGAGGTGAGCAGGCTATGATGGGCAGGACACAGAAGAGGGATCAAACTAAATATTATCTACTACAGAAGGAAATGGCAACATACTCAAGTACTCTGCCAAGAAAACCAAAAGGACATTCATACCAGAACAATTCATACCAGAAATATCAATAAGATATTGGAAGATGAGCTCCCGATTGGAAAGTAGTCAACAAGCTGAGAAGAGTTACAAGAAACACTGGTACTTATGATGTGGTTGGATTAAAGCTGAAAGGACCTCCACTGCTAATGATCCCAGAAGCAAAAGAAAAGTTAGATGCTGTAAAGATTTCTATATCATTGGTATGTGGAATCTCAGAACTATGAACCAAGGCAAACTAGATGTTTCAGAGCTGAAGACTGAACACACAGGGAATTGGTGAACTGAAGTGGACTAAACTGAGTCATATCACACCAGAGGAACATCACGTATTTTACTGTGGAGAAGAATATTAAAAGAAATGGAGTAGCCATCTTTATTACCAAAAAGGTTCTTAAGTCAATGCTCAGATACAACCCCCAAAATGACAGAATGATCTCAATTCAAATGCAAGGCAAGTCAATAAATTACAATGACCCAATACTCCAGCTATAGAGGCATAGGAAAAAGAAGTCAAACAGTCCTATGGCGATTAGCAACTTCTTGACAACACACCCCACCAAAACCACTCCTAATTATAAGAAACTGGAATACTAAAAGTTGGAAATAAATAGGTTTCCCCATCCATGCATGACCCTATATAGAACCTAATCAGGTAAAGATCAGTCCATAATAAGTGTTATTTCTTTCTTCCCTACACATAGATGTTCCATTTCAATTCAAAAGGCAAAACCCTCAGCTCCCACTTTAAGTCATTGTCCATTTTGAAATTCTTACAGTTCCTAAGCTTTTCAGATTCTATCAGTTAAAAAATACTGATTTGTAACTAAAGACAAATGCTATATGTAAGAGGGACTTTGTACAAGATCAGACTGATCATCTAATCCAGTGCCGTTTATTCTAGATGGCAATGGCTTTCCAGGACTTAATTAAGCCACAACCATTTCAACTGAGGTCCTTTTCTCAAGCAGCACCAATTTTCTTTATGCCTCAATGACATTGCGGGATTTTTATGGATCTCAAGAAGCTGAACTTTTCACCGCAAAAACTTATTGACTAGATTCCTGCTCTAGAAAGAACACTGAAATATAGTTCTGCAGGGTTTCCTCTGGACCTGCAAGGCAGGTAGTTCCTCAAAGGTAGACACTTTCATCTCCAATCACTGTCTTCCTATTTACTGTAGGCAAGGCAACATGGTGCCTTACCATCATCTTCCCATCTATTCCAAAGGGCACTCTGCTGATTTCCCATATAGCAGCTGATGGTTGTTTTATTGGTGAAAAAAAAGAGGCCAAGGTTAGCTGCCATTTCTCATTCCCCATTAGCTAGCTGGAAGGAATACTGGGTGGCTCAAAGAAAACTATTGGGGTGCTGCTCAGCAGCAGAAAAATGCTGCTTAGAATCAGGACCAAAACTAGCAGCTGCATGTGAGAAAACACCTGAGAGATGGGTAACCTATGGTTTTCCAGATGTTGGAATATATAAAGCCTTATCACTGACTAGGCAGGGAAGTTTGCATATAGTAAGAGATGGCAGCTACTGGCCAAATTCTCAAACACATTAAATCACAAGGTAGTGTGCTTCATCTGGGCTTAGCATGCTACGTGTGAAGCAAGTCACTGTGGGTTGTTCAACTACCCGTGACAAAATCAAGCCATGATTTAATCAGTATGTAAATCCAACCAGTAATTTTCCATGAAATAGGAAATAACTACTAGCATTGCAGTTTGGTTAGTAGTTAAATCAACAGTTTAGTACTGAACACAATGTAGAGATCTCAGTGTCTAGAATAAAACAATGGTGCTACACTATACAGATGATCCTATTGACTATCTATTGTTCTCTTCCTCAATACATTCAAAATTATGTTATGTATTAAATGAGCCATGCAGGTTTCTATTTCTGCTTAGTCACAAAACTCATTTGTCAATCTCAGACAAGTCCCTTTTTTCACAAAACTAACCTCTCAGATTAAAAAAAATATTAAGAGAGAAATCAGTAAGGTCATTCTAAGATTCATAATGTATGGCAGATTAATATTAACATAAATTTAAATTGAGGTAGAAGAAGAAAGTACACAGACTGCATATGCCAACAACAGCAGTAATTATTCCTCTTTGTTTTTTTAGCAAGCAATAAGACTGAAAGGTAAAACTATTTTAAACTAGCTGGTATGTTTTAATGATATCCTGGGAACTAGAACTTTAAAGGAGGCAGCATCAAAGGTTCAATACCAACAATCTGTATAATTATATAAATGGCCGGGGAGTGGAACGGGACTTATATATAATTAAAGATAAACTGAATGTAAGAAAAGTAGCAACTGCCCCAAAACTCAGAAGATGGTATTATATCTGGGGTGGAATGGGAGACAACATAGGTAAAACTTTTAGGAGAGTTATGAATGCCTTCACTGTCAAGCTAGAATGGGTTGTTTTTCAACTTGCAATTTCATCTGCTCCTACTGTTCTCATGAGAAAAAGGATACCATCTGTGTGCATAATCTGAATGCCCCAGGATCGTGCACTGACAAGGATATTGCTGCCACTTATGTTGTCCTGAAAGAGAGATGATCATTTGGATTTGGTGAAATATCTCACAAAAATAGAGAATACTTTTCCAAAAAAAAAAAAAAAATCATTATTGAGTGGTTTTGAGAGAGAACTCTCAGGAAGCCCTCATGCCACCTTTCCATGGAGTATTGGACAACCCACTACTAGCAATGGACGTTTGGTTGACATACAAATCCATACTTATCCAAATACCTTTGGACAGAATCCTGGGAATTCTCCATAATTTCTGCAGTAAATCATTTTGGCTGAGTTGCTTGAGTCACTTGGAACCATTCTGCTCAGGGCCATCTATACAGTAAATCTACATTCTGCATTAGATGGGAGGCCCTGCCTTGTGAGATGGGCTGGAGCCAATGATTTTGGGGTAATGTTTCAACTCCAACTTTGTCCATACTTATGCTTCATTCACAGATGTAGACATCCCAGTGAAAGAAAAGCTAACAGCCACACTGCTTACCTGACTGCCAATAGCTTTATGTAAGAGCTTCTTCCCACGACTGACCAGGGTCTGCAAAATAGTTTTGTGGAGTACAGCAGAAGTGTTATCAAGGGTAGGGATGGAAAAATCAGGCTTTGCTGACCCTTGCAGTGGGCCTACATTCATTGTCTTTTCATGCTCACCAGGTCTTATCCGAAACTTCTTCATTTCTTTCCTGCTATCTGGTTGAGTAAATATATTTTTTCCCAAATTAGTGTAGGGTCTGAATGGAATGTGTAGAATGTACACATTTTTGCCAAGTTTTAAAGAGCACTGGAGAATACTCCTTGGCACAGATATGAAGATTATATGAACTAATGAGGTGGCTCTATTATTAACATCCCTTCAGCTATTAGTTTCCTTTACTGTTTTAGTTTGTTTTTATAGTTTTTAATGTTTTTAATAATTACTGTATTTATTGTTTCATTGGACTGTTGTATGCCGCCCAGAGTCACTTTTTGCAAGATGGGCGCCCGTATACATTTGATTAATAAATAAATAAATGTATTTTGGAACGTTCAAGTTTCAAAGATACCTAGAAGACTTAATCAGGATTGCAGAACAATTAAGAGAAGTTGCATTACTTGGGTTGATATCTATCTAGTCAAGCAATTCTCATAAGGAATGCCCAGTTCACTAGCACCCCACAAAAAAGCAAGTTTAAGAACCAAGGGTCAAACCAACAGATTAATTTTAAAAACATGCCAGTAACTTGTTCTTCCTTTTAAAAATGTGTGCAAAAAGGAGAATAAGCATTTTTTCCACTCCAAAGTTCTTACCACGTCCACTGGCTTGTGCATGGAGCCTCTCTGATCCTCTGGGAGCCTTGAAAAAGACTGAGTTCCAGCTAGGGCATCTTTCAGCACAGTAGCTGTTTGCTTCTCTGGCCTTCTTTCTTGTCTAGCTTCTCGGCTGCTAGAGATAACACAAGTCACTTCTTTGCTGAGAAAACTTTCAATAACCTAGGCGGAAACAAAGAAAGCAGAAATGGAGCATTAATGCTGTTTAGTCTATGGGATGAAATGGGGTGAATCAAATAGTTAATAAAAAGAGCCAGACCTTGTATAAGTTATTTTAAGTGACTGACTAATAAAGAATAAAGTTGTTTGAACTTGCCCACACATAGCAATGCAATTGCATATCATGCATTTTACATAAAATAGAATCATGGAGTTGGAAGGGGCCACAGGATAATCTAGTCCAACACACTGCAATGTGCAGAAAAAACAGTTAAAATGTCCTTGAGAGGTGACTGTCTTGCCTCTCCTTAAAAACCTCCAGAGATGGCAAACCCATGATCACCATAGGTAGACTGTTCCAATCTTCTTCTATTTAAATGAACCTAGATAGCTGCACCTTGTGCCCATTATTTCTAGCCCTAGTTTCTATGGTAATGGAAAATAGTTCTATGGAGCACTTTAATGTACCTGAACACTAATATGTCCCCCTTCAGTTTTCTTTTCTCCAGACTGAACATCCTAACCCCCTTCAGCCTGTCTTCATACGGTATGTATTTAAGTCCCTGTATCATCCTGTCACCTTCCTCTGGACTTCTTCTAAGCTCTCAATTATCGTTCTGGAAAACTGAGGTCCAGAACTGTACACAGTCCTCACCAATGCAAAGTAGAGGAGAATAAGGATTCCATACATCTTTGATATGGTGCATCTTCTAATATAGCTCAGAACTATGTTATTCTTTCTAGCATCTGTCTCACAGTGCTAGCTGATGTCCAGCTTGTTCTCAATGACCACATCAAAGTCCTTATTTAAGGACTGCATCCAAATCATGGCTTCCCCATCTTGAATGTGCCTTACACTCCCTAAATGTAATAACTTACATTTACACATTCTAATCAAAACAGCCAATTAACCAAAGTTTGTTATATTAAAGAAAATATCTAGTTATAATAATTGACACAACTGACACTTGTGAAATTATCTCTCTTTCTGCTTCCTAAACTACAATACTATAGCTTGATAAACAAAAGCCCAGCTCTTCTTGTGTTTGTTATAAAAAGGCAGCCTGTCCTACTGTGAAAAGACTATGCAGAACTGAACCAATGTGGTTCAAACAGAAACCGAAATATACCAGCCTTTGGGTATCATGTTACTGGAACTGAATTTGATAAAGAGAGAGGGGAAAAAAACAAACAAACAAACCCAGAACGAATGCCTTCATGGAATACACCTTCTCCACTAGAAATCCACCTTCCCCACCTTCAGCTGTGTATATGCAAGCTATTTATTCACTCGTGGGTAAAGTCTGGGTACTCTGGCGGAGTTATAAAACTGAGCTTCTGCCAAATTAGCTCTAATTCAAACAAAAGTCCTAGCAGTTGTTCTCCTTATGTCTGGCCACATCAAGGGGGCAGTTTTCCATTCCAAAAGACTACAGTACCAAGAGATACAGCCCATCATACTCACTCCTCCAAGTCGTTTCACCTTCTCTGCTAGAAAAGCCAAGTTCTTGCCACTTGGGAGATCTAAGAAAAAAGATTTCCCAGACAAAGGACGGCTTCTGGCTGTACTCATAGCCTCAACATCTTTCCTTGAGCAATTGATATGGCTGTTCTGGCTATGGCCATCCAGTGGAGCTGAAAATTAAATGGGATATTGTTCTTTACATATCATCTCAGACTAGTTTTATAAGTGATTTTATTTTATTTTTCTATTGTGTCAATATCAACTTAATTTTTCTATTTTACAATTTCATAAACTAAACAATCTCACTGCTGAATTGTTCTTCTTTCTGCAGTCTATGTCTCTGTATGCTATATCCCTGCTATAGATAATTGCTGAATGATTTTTTGTACATGATCAGTGACTTGATTTTTACAGTTGGATCCAGACAAAATTACAATGCAATTTCTACACCAAAGCAAGCCCCAGTGTGTTCAATACTTAGTTCCACTTAAATGTGTATAGATTTGTGGCTTTAGTTGTGCTTAGGCCCCTGTAAAACTACTGGAGCTCTAATTCCATTAATTTCTTGTCCATGTTATAAATTAGTTTACAGTATATTAGTGCATTTAGTGCATTTTGGAATCCAAGGAAATTACTGCCAATTTATCAATAGCAGATTATCAATTTCCATTTGGCTAGGGAACTATGCCCCACCTAAGATAATGGATGCATTCACTCACCAAAGCTTTGGCAGAGACAAAGTTCCCCATCAGTCATTTTAGCAGAAGAGGATGAGCCAGACCAGGATATTCTCCAGAAAAAAACAAAACAAAACAAAAAACAGGAGACTAAAATGCAAGTAGAAGTACAATACAAGGTCATGATAGCATTCAAGAAACTGAGGCTTTCCCAGAATGCCATTTGTTTTCTTATTTGACACACTCTTGTATTATTTTAATTACTGATTCTAGAGTTAAGCTTTAGTATTTAGAACTGAGATAGACTGATGCTTTAATAATATTTAAAACATTTTTAAAAACACACAAATTAACACCGTTTTAAACCAAGCAAGAGAATCTGATGGGAAGGTACCAAGATAAAAAACCTCTAGGGCTTCCATGAACAATGCAACAAAACTTCGAAAACACTAATAATGAATGTAGAAGTTAACTGCCTGTGCAAGTTTAACAGAGTGAGAGGCTAGGGCAGGCAACCCTCCCATCTTTTTGATTTTACTAATCCTGTTTTTCTAAGTAAACACACCAATTTAATAAAAAGATCCTGAAAACAGAAAAGAATGAAAAAAAAACCATAGGGGCAAAGCAGTGTTTTGCACAGATCACGTATACATCTTCCTGCCTGCTGGGCAGCAGTTCCAGCTATATGGAACCCCTGGATCTGAGGTAACAAGTTGAGTTCCTTCAGGCTAAAGCAATAAAGAGAAGCAGAAATCGTGATAAGGCCTTCAAGGAAGAGGTAGCAGCATCCCATTACTAGGATGACAGTTCCAGTCCTCTGCTATGTAGTCTTATGACAGAAAAATACCACTCTGAGGCAGAGGGTTACTACCCCCTAAATGCAATGCTTCTCTGGGGGGATATTTATTGATTTATTTTATATTTATATCTTATCTTTTATGTACAGGAGCTCAAGGTGGCATACATTGTGCCCCCTCCTTTTCTTTTTCCCGACAACAACAACTCTGTGAGATAGGTTGAGCTGAGAGACAGTGACTGTCACCCAATGAGCTTTTGTGGCTGAGGGTGGTCCAGAACCTGAGCCTCCCTGTTCCTAGTCTGATACCTTAAGCATCATACCCCACTAGCTGTCTTATAAACTTATAACCTTGTAATTTAAATTATAAACTGGATATACCTGAAGTGAGAATCTGTGAGGAAAGCCTAATACCTGGCGCTCTGACACTGTAAGAAACAATGAGTGGCAACTTTGGTGGGCAAGATAGATCATGGGGTGACTTGACTGCCTGGGGCAAATATCACAGCGGGTTCTTACACATTGCACTAAGCTGCAAACTTAATTCTTGGCCTAGCACAATATATTCATCCAATGGAGTTTAGTATTACCTGCAAACCACAAGCCAACAGCCATAATTTTAAAAAATCCTGGCTTGACATAATTTACAAAATCAGCTTTTGTCTATGGAAACGATTAGATGCTACCAGGAAGGGTTTAGTAGATTAAATGGAAGCACCAGAATATGCCTTTAAATATCAACCAGTTCTGGAAAGCAAAAGCAAAAGCCGTTGTCTTTTGTCATATTTGTTGATTTTCCATCATCATATAATTGCTACTGTGGAAACAAGATACTGGACTAGAGAGGCTTTATGTTGTTATGAGTACGCAAAACAGCTTCCTCTCACAGCAAGCTACTGCCTGGAGAAATGTAAAAATGCACACAAACCATGAAATCCTGTGTTATCCTAAAGAATTTATCTATTTTAGCCATGATGTAACCTTAAAGAGAGAGGATAAAATATAAATGCATTTATAACTGCTGTAAAGAAGATCAGAAGCTACTTCTTTATATCTTTCTTTTTCACTTTTTTCTTTCATTTCTTTTCTATTGACTTATCACTCTTCTTTTACTTTTCTTTTTTCTTTAAATTTACATTTTTTTACTTTGCAAAAAACTTCTTTAATAAAATTTTTAAAAAGATTATATCTATTTTGATATAAACATCTGTGTGATGCCCCCTTGACAGTGTGTCACGCATGTAAAATATAGTAATAATATAAAGTGGCTGATATATGATGTTAAAACTCTCCATTTATAGCACAAAGTCTCAGGAATAATATAGTTACTGGTAGATAGCACACTATCTCATTCAAATTGTAGGTAGAGCAATTAGAAGCAAACAGATTCTCAAAAGGAGGCCGTAAGGTAGTAATTCACCCGGGGGGGGGGGAGGACAGCAAGATTCCAAGGAGTTTTCGATAGCTCTAAAATGAAATATCAAAAATTGCTTGTCTCTCACCGTTACAATTCAACTACGAGAAAAAGAAAACCGCGCGGTAATAAGAAATCATTGACGTGCTTAACAACTTCATCAGATCATACTTCAAGCCATAGTGATTACAAGCAGTAACCCAATCAGTTTAAATTTATAGAAGACTATAAAGGGGAGAATTACTACTTTGATGCTACTAAAAAGTGAAAGCTTTACGCAGGGAACATCCTGAATATAAACCTAGCAATTAACTTTACGATATTTACACACAACAGCTTTACTTACATATAAAATCTTCTGCCTCAAGTAAACTTCAGACCTAATTTGACTTTCCCTGAAATGGCCAATGAATCAAATTTAAATTTTCTGCCTCTGACCAGTGTAAATTTTGAGCACTACGGTGGTGGGGAAGGTCCAAACTAGTTGGGATGGACGGGGGAGGGGCTTGGAACGTTGCGAAGGTACAAGGGAAATGCCGCCGAATAGGAAACCCGCTTGGGGTGGATGAGAGAGAGAGAATACGGTAATAGAAAATTAAAGGCATCAAATGACTTAACTAGAGAAACCTCGTCCTAACATGGGTTATTTTTATTCCCTCCCCCACGAAGTTCCTGTGCTTTTAACAACAAAGTGACAGGCATAAATTTAATAGGTGAAAATCATATTTATGGCTCCCATTTTCCACTGATTTGTGATTACTGTATATGCAGGGTTATAGGTATCTCTTAGAGGAATAGGATAAAGAGCACATGAATTCATTGATATCGGCTTGAAAATTGACTACTCAGAGACTAATCAGAAACCAAACTTAACTTAGGGAGAGGAATAACATACGCACTATATTGGCACAAGTGTCAATTTAAAAAGAACATTGGGTTGCAAGGTGAAGAGTTCCTTGTGTGAAGCCCTGAAGAATTATTGTTGGTCTGAATTTGCAAAGTGATAACTACAATGATCCGTGGCAGCAAATGTGACAAGGGATGTTGTGACTCTCATATAAGCCAGTGGTCTTCAGTCTTGAGATACCCAGGGAACCCTTCTCAAAGTGAAAAATAAGTGTGGAACCCATTTAATAAATACCTTTCATATAATACATTTTATTTGAACAAAATGTTACAATTATTGTTGCAATAATACATTTCATACAATATAAACAGAAACTGTCATGTGGAACCCCTGGATGATTCTCATGGTACCCTCAGGTTCCAGGGAACATAGTTTGAATACCGTGGGTATAAGCCAACACATATATCAGGAATAGACAATGCAGAGCTCACAGGTCCTATTGTTTCCCCAGACATCTCTGTCCTTGCCTAACTTTAAAAAAAAAATTTTAATTAAAAAAAATTAAATTAGAAGCTAGTATGCTGCAAAGCAAAACACTAATGCCTAGAACAGCCTTCTCTAATCCGACACACTCCAGATCCGCTGGGACTGCAAAGATCAGAATTCTTAGTCCAAGGCTGGGTGATAAATTCTGGGAATTAAAGTCCTAAACTACTGTACCTGAAATGCTATAAAAAGTTTCTAAACATTTAAAGATAGCGTTGTTTATGAAAATGAATACCATAACTGCAAAGTGATTAATAATTGCTTTACTAAGGAACCCAGTTTTCTGTGTTTACAGAATACGCTGAACCATAAACTAACCACAATAATTCAATTTATACAATATGATAGGCTAAATGTGTTGGCTACTTTGTGCTTCTGCAGATAGCTTAAAATACAATCACTTGATCTGGGCTACAAAAATCCAGATGAACACTAAGTGGCAGCAAAGAGATATAGAACATTATTTTTTGCCATCTAGTGATCAGATTTTTGCAGCCCAGATCTGATAGTGGTACAGTACTTAAATACTTCTAGATGGACTCCTGATCTCACATGATTTTCATGGTTGGGACAAAGACCTTTCATCATTGCATCTTAGATCCCTTCCCAGCTTAATTTCTCAGACGAACTACATACAGAAACCTTGTATTCCTTTGCTTTGAATTACTGTAATTCTGTTGTGCTTTTAAATATCTACATACTCTAGATTCTCATTAGGTTGCAATTCCTAGTCAGCCTTGGATGATCTCAAAAATCTGACTTGTTTAGTACTTGTTAGTACCGTACTTGTACAGGAGACACCAGGATTTAAGAAGCCCCAGGTTTAAACCCTTTAGAGTATATAGAAGTCCCTGACAAAACTAATGTGTGTAACTTCATTTATGTCTGCAATAAAGATTCTAATGTAGCCGAACTGCGGTCACTGTGAGTCGTCTTGCCAAGTCAAGCCAAGCAATTTTGCTAAGAGTGAAGTGTCAGGAGATTCATAATTTATTGCTAAATCCAGGTGTAAAGTGTCCAGTACGCTAAACTGAGAGATTTAAAAAAATCTGGCAGAACGCAACAACAAAATAGTCCCAAATTAGACAAAGCAGGAATTCCTACTACTTGTTGCTACTTTCCTTCGGGGATAGATTTTCTGAGACCCAATTACCTCTAAGTTAAAACCTTGTTATACTACTTTCTATTGAGAGTTCGCATAGCTGACAAAAAAGCCACTTTTTTTTCCAAAGCGTACATCTCCAATCCCAACACTTTGTTCAAACTTCCGCCGCCGGAGCACTGCGCATGCGCATTGAATCGCAGTGGCTACTTCGGGATGGTGATGACCCAATATGGCGGCGCCCTGCGCTTTTGAGCCTTGGCTTGAGGGTCGTCTGGAGGCCCTGGGCTTAGATGGAGATGTGTACGGTGGATATATACGAGGCGTATTGCGGGAAGCGGAGTGCGATGCAGAGCGGCTGGAAGGGCTGGCGGGGGCCTTGGCTGCGGGGGAACCGGTGAGAGTGACGGAGCAGTTGATCCTGACCGGCTTCCGTAGCCATTTTTTTTCTTCCTTCATTCCCCTCTCATGGCACTGTCAAATATTGAGAAAGGCTGGATTTCATATCTTTCCGGCCTTTAGGGAGATATTTTATTCGTATTTATAAAATATATCCAAAGTGCGTATGCCGAATTCCAGGAACAGCTAGCTGTTTAGGTGTGTTGCCCCGAAAGTAGTTGGCTTAATTTTATATTAACCCATTATATCCGTGAGTTTGATAGCGTTTCGAGCTGGCAAAGAGGTTATTTTTTCAAATTTGACTTCAAATTTCATTTATTCCTAGTGTTCACTAGGTGCGTTTAGGCAACGGTCTGTCTTTCTCAGCCAAACACCCCCATCCCTTACATTACAAACATGAGAGGATCGTACTCTTCTATTCTTGATTTCATAAAGATGGTACTAAGTGTTTTGAAGTCTTGCTCATACTGGTACCCTCAGGATGAGTTTGTTTACAATTCATGTACTTCCCAATTGGCATGGTTTGGCCATGCTGTTAGGGAATTCCTGGGATTCTAAGCAAGTACATCAAAGGGGAGTCATTTCAGAGCAGGCTTCAGTATAGGAATGGTTGCTGTTATGACATCTAAGCTAACACTCATGCTTTTCAGGAGTTTTGTTGAATGCATGATTGCCTTATATTTGTTCTGGATTGTCTCCAAAATTTATACCCCATTTCTCTAGTTTTGGGGTGGAATAAGAAAGGTTTTATGCCACTATCTTATTCATAGAATTTTGGGTGGGGGCAGATGACAGTGTCTTTAATTTACTATATATCTTTCTCTTGTGTTTCTTCACAATTTTTCTATCAGGATTCTTATCACAAAAAATACTTTATAGCACTCAGAATGGAATAGGTCTGCAATGTCTTTTCATTGGTATCAGTTTTAAGAGGGACAATTGCTTTAGTTTCTTGTATGCTAAAGACTGGTCCAAAACTAGGAAGGGGAATAATTTTATTCTGCCCTACAATAGGGTGCCAGCATCATCTTAAAGATGTAAACATTTTTAACCAAGAATCTCTCCTGTCATCCCAGCTATCAGAATACCTAAAAGAAAGATGCTTAAGGATTCTCATGAAAATACAGAACTTAACACACCTTATGAAAACCCTGAAGACACAAAATGGAATCATACAGACTTGTACATGAGGAAAGGTTAAAGAGAGTCCATTATAAAACAATTGAGCCAAATTAAATCCTAAAAGTTTATTTGAAAAAAGAGAAAAATAGGAAGGATTAAGGAAGGTAATTATCACATACACTGAGTTCCAATAAAATCCATCTAATGTGGAGTTTCTTGCAGAGAACATGATTTGAAAGAGCATCTTGGCCTCTTCTTAGATGTTTGCCTTTCTTTCTGTTTCTCAGTTTCTGAGCAATGGCTCCTAATTTTGCAGAAAGCAAAAGCAAACCTGGGGAGGCTGGTGGCTACAGCAGTCTAGCCAGCAAAACTAAAATTTTCTTGCTAAACCCATCTTGGTAACCTTACTGCTGAATAATAAAGAAGCTGACTAAATAAAACATTGTGCGGAAATACCATATATCAGAGATGAATATTGGAAGAAAAAGTAAAAAAGAGGAGTTCTGGTCCATTCAGGCTTCCCAGTATCAGTTTAAATTACCAAGTGGTCTAATGTGCACTGTTGAGTCATGTGAACCCAGAAGGATTTATGACAAAGACCAATAGATTTATGATCCCATAAACTTTGTTGGACCACATCACACTTCCATGCATCTAATGCAATAAGCTCTGATGTGTGAAAGCATGTTTATTGTTGTAATCACAGGTCATAATATATAACATGCCATAAAATACAGTAAAATAGTAAGACTGTAAAATAAAATAATAAAAGGAGCATTAGATGTAAAAAAGTTACAGCAAAATAAAGCCAAGGTTACAGCTAAGAACTTAAATATTTCTTTCTAAATTTAAATGACAGCAGAGCAAAAGTAGCAACTTGGTTGCTAACAGTTGGAAAGACATCTGCAAGAAGATAGTTCAATTTTTCAAGATTGGAGCCATGTGAAAGTATATGCCATAATAAATTTCTTAGTCTTTCAGGTGTCTTAGACTTTTTGCTGTTTTACTACTTGTGTCTCAGAACTACAATTCAAGAATGTTTTCCTTTTACTTTTCACTAAAAAAAGGTCTAATACACCAATATGTTTGTGATTATGCTACAATCCTGTATCAGCTTACTTCCATTGTACAAATGGGACTTGCATTCATGGCCTATCAGTCTGCTTTTATGTAACTGTTGTTTAAAAGTAATTTTTTGTGAGTCGCAAAATTCTAAGAGTTATTTCTCTCTTGTTCTGATATTTGCATATTTATTCTATTTCTCTCCTGCTACAATGCAAGCAGCTCTCAGATTTTATTAGGAACCAGATTAAATCAGTCTATAGTCTAAAATTTAATTTTGTATATGAAGTGATCCCTTCACTATGATCAGGCTCTAT